AACAATTTTCTCAGTTTTTAGTGATATGTCTTTTGTACAATTTGCCCTCATACTTATTCAGCTGTTTTCAAATAAGACACACTGCATCCTCTGCTTCCCCAGAGTTTCCATGTCAGCCCCCCCAGCATTTGTGGGAGGACTTATTTGAGTTGAAGTCTCACAGTAAGGCTCTTATCTCATGAATATATAATTTCATTACTGCACTGGGCAATTACTCAACCAAAAAGATCACTTCCAGTTGAGAAAAGGAACTGGGTCTTAAATTTGGGGAAGATTACTTGGAAAAAGTAATTGATAGTATTCATACCTCATCCTCATGTGCAAGACTCTTCCTTACTTAGTTTAAGACAGTAAATACAGGGTGGGTGTCACCTGGCCCTCTTCCTATTGAAAAAAACAAATCCAAGATGGCCAACTTCTAAATGGCCACCATGGTCACCACCCATCTTGAGGAGTTTTCCCCCTCACATATACTAATGTGCCGCAAACAGGACTTTAATATCACCAACCATTCCCATTTTATTACGGTGTATCCATATAAATGGCTCACCCTGTAGATTGTATTTGTCAAAATCAAGACTACCTAAAGTATATTCTGACAACCTTGACCTGTGCGGCAGATGTATTACCTCTCTGTAATTTAACTCGCCTGCCTTACACTTCAATCATACTGGACTTTTTGTTGGCACATCGTAGAATTTAGCGTTCCTCAAAAGCTCTTCACCCTCCAGCTACATCACTTTGGCTGAAAGATCCAATTCAGACTCAGAGGGTATGCTAGTGAGGTTTTATAGATGCAGCAGCGTTTTATCATTTATTTTAATTCCTTGAAAACATTTGCACCTGGCTAATTTTGAGTATCACATTTTTATTTTTATTTTATTTTATTTTTTTAAATATTAGGTTAGACTTTGGGATGGGGATTGGTTTGGATAAGCTGTTCAGTTTGGTTTCCACAAAAGCTTCACAATGTTAATGGATTGAACTGTATTGATTTATACCTTTTTATATCGCTTGTTTTTGTTAGGCCTGATATGTCAAACTAGATTAGATAAGAAAATTCTATAATTGGTATTTAAAAAAACAAAACTAAAACGCACGAGCTGATCAGCAAACTCCAATGTAAAGAAATGCAAACTTTGTGTAAAACAAACAGCGGTGCTACAATGAAAATCTACAGTAAAGCTACAGAAGTTAAAAAGCGTACGTGTGCAGACTGACTGAACCTGGTATGTTTATAAGGCAACTTGCGGAAGGCTGACAGCAGCTGTCCTACTTTATATGGCAGCAATACCTGCAACAACAGGGGTGCGTCTAAAGGGGGGTATGGGGTGTACTAGAGCATATTTATTTCAAGACTAAAGTGACGTTATACTGCAGATTTAGATTAATATAAAATGTAAATTATGACTTAAATTGTACCAATATTTATGAATACAAATGAAAGCTTTTTCTTAATATATATATAGGCCACTAAGAATATACAAGCCACTAAAACTCTCAGCCACTGACCTGGCATTGTTAGCTTGGACACTGAATTATAAGTAGTTGTTGTTGTTATTATTGTTATTATTATTAACGTCACTCATCTGAAGGTCTGCTTTCTGCAGCAGAAAAAGTATCAAAGCACAGGGCCTCAGAAGATCTGAGAATTTTTATATGCTCGTGTTTCTTCATTGCACACAGCACATGCTCCTATAGAGGCCTAAAGGTTAAACATACATACATACATACATATTGCTATGTTTCTAATGATTTATTTTTGTAAATAAATAATTACAAAATATTTTTGTTAATGAGACAACTACTTATTTGATTAATTGGTTGAATGATTGATAGAATATGGAGAATATAAAATAATTGCTAGCTGCAGCTCTAATCCTGACTGTTTGCCTTTTGGAAATGAGGAAAGCTTTTTGTTTAAACTCATTTTAAATGTTGAAACTGAATCAGTCTGTCACTTTTATGAGTTTTATTTGTCTGGTGTAGTGAGGCTCTCTCTGCTCCTTGTTTCTGACTGCACTTGTCTCTATGTTGACTATGATTCTTGTGATATCATTAGGCATTTCTTGTTCATTTCCTTTTGCTTGAATTCTGTTTTCCTATCATCTTCATCTTACCATCTTCTTACCTTCTGCCTTCCTTTCTGTCTCCCTCCTGTTCTCTCCTCTACTTCTCATTCTGGTGCGTGTGTGTGCGTGTGTGCGTGCGTGCATGTGTGCGTGCGTGCGTGAGTCAGCTCCCCTCAGTGTACCACCAGCTATAAAGCTCCACAGCCCCAAAACCCCAACCACTGTTACAGGATACTCCAGTAAGTTCCCCTGCTGGTGTGCACTAGGCTCGGTTTGGCTCCATCATCACAGTGTGTCTTTCCCCCCCACCCACCCCCACAGCCTGCTGCATTAATTGGGGTTCAGCTTTGC